GACGCACGCCCCGCCCCCCCCCCCACCGAGTCACTAGTTCAACAAGTCGTTCCTCAACCCGTCATCTAATACAGACTAACATGGCACAGACGGCCAATTAAAACAGAAATGACCCACTTCCCGTTCCCTGGACGTTTTCCTGCCTCCGGTGATGATAGACGTGTCCACTCAATTTCGTGATGACCATTGAAAACGGTGGATTTATTAAGCACACGAGCAGCAGGACTGTATTGAGTGAGGTTCCTACCGGGCACACAGGTGCATTCATAGTTGGTGTCACCCTTCTGGACGCAGGTGCCTCCATTTTGGCACGGCGACGGGCTGCAGGGCAGATAGCGTTTCTCGCAGTGCTCGCCGGCGTACTCGGCCGGGCAGCGGCAGTGGTAGCCGCCGACCACGTTGACGCACGTGCCGCCGTTCCTGCACGGTGGCAGGTTGGCGTCGCACTCGTTGACGTCCTGCTTGCAGGTCTTGCCCGAGAAGAAGGGCGTGCAGGTGCAGATGTAGTGCGACTCGATGGCCGAGCAGCGGCCGTCGTTGGCGCAGGGGTTGGACGCGCAGGGGTCGGGGTGTTGGCACTGGTTACCTAGGAAGACAGATACATCTCTAACCCACCCCAGACAAATAACGGCATTCCGCTCTGTTTCTACTCCAAACGGCGGCAGCAAAGTATATTTGACGCTACCTGACCATCCAGGCGGGCAGCGGCACTTGAACGCCTGCGGGCCGTCCAGCTGGCAGGTGCCCCCGTTGCGGCACGGTGCGCCGAGGCAGGCGTTGCCGATGAGCGTCTGGCAGCGGCGGTCGGTGAAGCCCGGCTTGCAGGCGCAGCTGAAGTCCACCGCGTCGGCCTTGGTCACCACGCTGCACGTGGCGCCGTTCAAGCAAACTCCGGTGGTGCACGGGTCGCGAAACTGGCACCTGTTTCCGGCGTATCCGTCCCGACACCTGAGGAAAATAACGCCGATCAATCCAAATGTTTTTTTTTTGGTTTCTTTTTTAAAAATCAAAGAGTTTCAACATTGAAAGCTTCAAAAAGGAAAACATTCAATTGTAGGTCTTGTGCGGGACAAAAAAACACCACTTTTAAAATTAGTTTTTGCCGTAGTATCATTTCAGTATCGATATCGAGGTACCACATGCCGATGTAGTCTGAAAGTCAAAATGTTAGTATCGTGACAACACGACAACCTCAAGCGAGGATAAGGAAGTAGATCCTCTCTTTTCCCGATTTGCTGGGTTGAGACAAAGCGGTTGGCGCGGTGCCTTTTGCATGTTCCTGTGTGTAAATGGGACCTCGACTAAAGAAAACGAGGCAGACTTTTCTTCGAAGCAGCCTTCGGGTTGTTTGTAAATGGCCTCCTTACATGCAACCCTGTGGGGCTGAATGATTTTGAAAAAAATATTATTTTCCACAATATTGCGATGGCGATTTAACATGAGATCATTTTCTCCTCTTCTGATTTTTTTTTGTTTTTTTTTTTTAACATAAACAATAAATCAATCTGTATTATGATAGACAAGATCAGATTTAATGTACATGTTTCGGTCGCTGAAATAGAAGCAAATGAACCATGAAGTTATTCTCAAAGACAGTTTCTACCAAACAAGCGTGGAATAAACATAAATCAGTCAGTGAGAGGTCAAATTCCAACAATGATGCAAACAAGTCTGTGACTTTGTCACTTCAACTTTTTTATGTTTCATTTAACGATGATAAATGTGCGGCCTGAATTTCTTAAGTATTGAACTTATGGAGACACAAAATAAATAAAACATACATATGTATAGATTTTTAAAAAAATGTAACGGTACATGTATATAAAAATAATAAAGCCTACCAACAGGTCAAACTGAAGCAGAGTTCCCCCCGCGTCCTAAATTGAAGCCTGTGCGATTTAAAAATTGCATTTTCCCGCACCGCGATATCAACTGAAATTTGATTAATTGTTCAGCCCCCGTCAATGAGAATTCCTGAAGCAACTCAAGGGAAGACACGACTTGAAGTTCTATGGGGGGGGGGTCAACCTTTTGTGCTCATAAAACAGCCTATAGGGTAATAGCCTTTCCCCGATCTCTTGAAAAAAAAAAAGCGCTTTTACCACAAGGCGACACATCTCTGAGAAACGGGGCCTTTAAATGGGACCTCCTTGTTTCCGTCATGGCCCTCTGTGAACAATGTGCCGTTGGGCAGTAAAAGGCAGAGGAGAACAACACTCGTGTGATGTTTCTCACAGGTCGCGTCTGCGTCATAAAAACGCCGGCCAATAAGTTCCCACAGAGCAGGAGAAAAGCAGACTTTTTGAAATGACAATGAGTGCAGCTGAGGGACGTCCCGAGAGAATACGCAACAATGAGGCGAACAATAACAAACGTACCCGCACGGCCTTCTTTTGATGACATACATGTACATATACACAGTAGCTGTGAATCAAAAAAACTAGAGGGTTCAACAGCCTACGATTGCCGATGGGGATTGATGCCTCGCAGCGCATCACAGCAATTGTTTTTTCTTGGCAGTGCCATGACATCCCACCATGTCATTTTTTTTGCCTTGATTGCTCCACCTCTGTTGATTGTAAAAACATCCGACGTCAGGCAAATTCCCTTCCACGAAGCCAGTTGACTTCCAAGTTGTTCTAATTTTAAAACAAAAGTTCCCATCGAAAATACAGTGATTCCCTGCATTTTAGCCGATTTGTGGATCTTTTTTTTTTTAACTTCATAATTGTTACAAATAAAACATGATTTTTTTTTTCAAAACAAGTAGATAAGAAGCAAAAAGTGGAATGACAGGAGTTTGCATTGAATGTGTTTCGTAAAGGATCCGATTGGCCTTCCCACAAAATAGCAGCACCACCGTCACACCAAATACCTGACCACAGACAGACAGTCTATTCGCCCTGAAAAGGATGCCAGTACTCCATCCCAAAACATTCCCAGGGGGTCCAATGTGTGTGAGGGGGGGCTGAGCGGCGGACCCCTCTTTTAGGCACGGACGAGTGTTTGGACAGTCGCCCTCTCAGGGGGATTACCCAGCCTTGGGATTGTGGCAAAAATAAGAAAACATCACATGCTAGGCTGCCCGCTGTGTAAACACTGGACTGAGTGACCAGCGGCAGGCCAAGCAAGGCTGCCATTTGGTTCAAAAACAAAAAAAAAAAACTAAACTTAAAAGACCTCAATCATAGGCATGTAGGGTAAAAGCCAAATTTTTTTCAATGAATTTATAAGCTCATTCCATCGGTGTGCGGCATAACAGCTCAATGCTGCTTCACCGTGTTTGCCTTTTTACTCCAGTAATTGCAGACCTCACAGCCCGACTGGATTTATATTCCATTCGCATTTTCTGTAGACTGGCGAACCTTCAAGCGAGTGCTACTTTAACACACACGGAGCATCAAAAAGACAACAACAGCGTCGAAAACAACAATACAAACATATTTTCTCTGCCTCTGTGGAAAAAACAGCTATGACTGCAGCTTAGTAGGGGAGCTTCTCTGCCTCTTCTTCTCGATGTAAATTATGTTGCCTCTCTTCCAGCAAACCTCAGTGTTGCTTGCCATCTTGCGGCTTCACACTAGAGCTGCACACCGGTACTCTGTGTAACAAACGATTGCTTATAAATATGCGATTAGTCGGGGGCCGTGAAAGAAGAAATACGATATACAGTAGCGTCGGCGGCTCACGATACATCTCATTGTGTTGTGCTTTTTGTACTTCTTAAACCTGTTGATCCACAAATTCTTGCACATTAACAGCTTCTCTCAGTAGAGAAAGTATGCATGTGTGTTTTTTTTGGGGGCTGGGGGGTGAGGGGGGTTCCTCTTTAGGGCCCAGCGGTTGTGAGGCTCCGCACGAGTGTGCTAGAAAAAGCCAGCAAGGAGCAGGTGTGCATGTTAATGAGGAAGACGGCAGCTGCTGCCCCGGCATATTCAAAAGCTTCCTCACCACCACCACCACCACCACCTCCCATATTCCCACCACTCTTCCTGCCTGTGACACCCCCATACCACCATTTGTCCCCAAGTCAGGCCCAAGGTTGTTATAGCCACTGTGCTGCCATATACAGTATATAAACTAATAAAAACTAAAATTAAATATTAAAAAAAAAACTAAACAAACTGAATTTAAAAAAAAAAAAAAAAAAGTCAAAATGAAATCTAAACAAAAAGAAAAAAAAATCGAATCCGAACCTACTATAACCTTGGTCAAGACACATGTTATACTGAAGAACAATTTGATTAAATGGAATAATTTGAATGAACCATTCTCAACTGAGGACGCCCAAAACATGCAGTCGGAATTGGACAAACAAAAGGAAAAAGACTCTCCATAACTTCCACTCACAACAAAGACTAAATTTAGCTCTTCCCCCTGACATACAAGGTACATTTTACATTTTGATGAAGAGACAACTCTTTATCAAAATGTATCGCTTCAACATACTTCCTGAACACCAATTCCTTTGTAGCCAGGGATTTGGTGGCATTTTGAAGCATTTGATAGCATTTCCGCACCAAAAAGCGAACAGTTGAAATTGTGAATCGTGAACCGCAACTATGTGGAAGACTGCTGTGCGCCACTGAACACATGAAACCTCGGCACAGGTTCATTCCCAGCCTGCCGCTGAAAAACACACACACACACACACACACACACACACACACACACACACACACACACACACACACACACACACACACACACAAAAACGGACAAACTGCCCAACGTCTCACATCGAGACCTCCAAGACAAACAGATAGCGTCGCCGCACGTGGACACGCTATCCAAACATACCGTCTGGTCCTAAGTCAACTGTGGCGCGCACTCTGTGAAGAATGTTAACAGTTTGCTCTTTAATCTGGCGACGGCCCGTCATATGCACGCATGGCGCAAAGTCGCTTTTTAAAAGGCGCCAAGTCGAGGAGTTCAAACCTCATAAAACAACGCAAATGCCTTCTAAGTAAGCGTTCATCACATCACTTGTGAGCGAGCTTCTAAAACGCTGCCATTTGAGTGAAGTGGAAAGAAGAGGAGGGCCACAATAGCCGATGTAGTTTCAACTGCACAGACAGTCAAATTCACAAATACAAAATGAAAATACTCCTCAGGAGCATGGGAGACTCTTGAACACTGAACTGAGTGTTTTTTTTTCCTTTTCATTACGCAATATAGATATCTTGGATTAAAAAAAAAAAATCTGAAAAAACAATGATTTGATGACGAAGTATCTCTTGTCCTGTTTTGTCTCGCATGAGGCAAATTTGTTTCCTTCTTTCCTTTTTGACTTTTTTTTCCCCACTTGTGTTGCCTGTTTTGTTCTTACTCGGTATCTGCAACCAGGCTAGAAAGAAAAAAACTTTTAAAACAAATAAACGCAGCAGGGTGAGACAAAAGACAGTCAACGGCTCTTTTTATGGAATCAAAAAGAGCGAGCGGCAGCTGCTTCAACAAGAAGAATCTCAGCAGCAGGTAAAACTGTGCCACAGGAAAGGTAAATAAAGACGACGTGAAAAGGTGGAGCGCAAATCAGAACCTGAGCAAATATCAGGTGTTGTGTGAGCTATCGTCTAACCGGGGCGGGATTAGCACGTCTGTAAAGCCGATACTATGATCATATTCCTTGATTATTGTTCCTTGCTCATCAGTGGTCACCGCCGTAGTCCTTGGCAACACCTCGGCAGCACTTAGGAGGACCCGGGTCGCCGGCGCCAGCTCTGTAGCAGATGTTGTGGCTGACATTTGAGCCAACACTAAAAGGGGTTTCCCCCGTCAGTGTCGGCCCGATGCCATCCGGGGAACACAATACACTGATTATAGGCTACATGTGCACTGTACACTCAGAAAGCAGCGGTCCCCAAACCCCGGGCAACGGACCGGTACCGGTCCGTGGGTCATCTGGTACCGGGCCACACAGAAAGAATGAATAACTTACTCGGAATCTGAAAGATGTTTTATTTTGAAAAATTACAAGATTCTCTGTTACATCCGTCAACAATATGTCAGTCAAGGCGCACTTCTCGCTCACGTGATAGGTGACCGCTAAAATGATATCCAGGAGATAGCAAAATGAGTAAAAAGCAAATGTCTTTGGAAAGTTTTTTTTTTTTTTTTTTTATGAAGGGGAAAAGGCCCAGCCAGGAAACAGAAGAGAAGCCTACGACTTTCAAGAAAAAGGCTACATTTAATAGACACTATCAGGATTTCCTATTTAAAATCCGGATTTATCTCAACAGGAGATTCCCACGCACTAAGCCCACTCTGCATAATATGCGGCGAGGGTGAGCCGTATTTTTCATGCACTTTGTATTTGCGGTGTATCTTATTTTGAAGGCACGTTTAAACGTTACCATAGCGACCAGAGAGCGTTTGCGGCCAGATAGGACGTTCCTCGTGTCATGATTCGTGTTTATTATTATGGATTGAAAATACCACCGTTTTCATGCAGGTCATATTATATTATTTTGTTGTATTTATGTGACCTTAGAGGCCGGTCCGTGAAAATATTGCCTGACATTAAACGGGTCTGTGGGGCAAAAGAGGTTGGGGACCAGTGTCATAAAGGACAGTGACGGGCACCCAGATTTGGCAGCTGGACTGGCCTGATGCTTCATGTGCACCCCTATTTAAGGAGCTTAGGCGGATGGCATTTATTCAATTATTGAGCCATGTCTATCCCTGTGGGAGGCGTTATTGGTGTCAGGTTCTGGATTGACATTATTCTGAATATTTTAGGATAATAGCCTTTTGGGACACTTCATGAAAAGGATAATGAAACATGCTAATGTCAACGTCAGCCAGTTTGTGTCTGAAACAAAACCTCAAGTCATCAGATCTTCAGTCACTCCAACCCTCAGACAGGTGGTCCGACGGGGAGTGGAAAAACCGAACCCGCTGTCACTCCTCCCAGTGACGCCGTCGGGAATCATGGAGAACTTATATCACTCATCCCCCTTGTTGAGGCTCCAGTCAACCCAATCAGCCCACTCTACATCAAAAACCCGCCGAAGGGAAACAGACATGGCGGCAGCCATGTATAAAAAAAAAAAAATAAAAAAAAAAAAAGCTGTATTGTTTCACCATTGTGTGATCATATGATGAGATGTGGCACCTTTTACTCCCTCGAGTCACTTTGAGACCATTTCCTGACTCTCAATGGAGGTGTGTGTGCCAATACGGGAGTCGAGGGGAGGGATTTTAGAGAGACTCATCTGACCAAGGCAAACAGAGATGCCATTGAAGACACAGAGACGGCAGAACTGGAAAGACAAGGGCTCACTTTCATTGAAGCGCTGCTATATTGAAGCATTCACTGCACATACCAGCACGGACGGAATTTATGGCGCACATCACCCTGGCATGGGGACGCAAACATGAAAAGCCCCTTTTAACTTGTCAGTGTTGTGCCATGAAAAGTACACCGATTCAGAAGAAATCATGCATCACACATCCAAAGAATAAATGCAATCAAGTGAGGCGAAAACGCCAGGTGTTGCATTCTGCAGAAAAAGGTTCTAAAAGCTTTTGGGTTAAGGGACTCCTGATACAGAGGAAAGATTTTTCTCATGAAACACGGGATGAAAATGTTGTTCTCAAAAAAGTTATTTTGAGAACAAATACATATTTTAAACGTGATCTTGACAAGAACAAAGATGTACTGTCGGCATTTTGGATTGGTCTGTTGAGCTGTTTCAATGAGCGGCATAAAGCACATCAGCAACTGTGGCTCTCCTTGCCCACATGCGAGGGCATTACAGTGCCCTTATTCACTGGCATGGATGTTTTCATGTGATGGAATCCAGCAGTTTACTGCCACCCAAGAAGAGATTTGTCAAGTAACTTTATCAGTTTGTCGGTTGTAATTCAGGTTTGTATGCCACTGTAATGAATGACAGTCCTCTCGATAAAAGCGTTGCATCGCTTTGGATGTTGAGATGAGCACAGCTTTTGAGTGGAAGATAAAGTCGGTCGGGTTTAGGCACCTTCTTTGAAAACGGCTGGCAGTTAATGAGTTATCGTGCAATTTCTTTTTTTGTCCCCCCCCTCCTCCTAAAAATCCAAATGAAAACCTGGTGACATACTGTAGTAAACACACTCCCCCTAAACTTTGTGAACTGGGAAAAATCCCTTTGAAATGGCGAACCTGGAGTGAGGGCCTCATGCGCCATCTCCATGTTTAATTGGAGAAGTCTGAGAAGGGGGGACACTGCAGCGGCACAATGATGGCTTTGTGGCCCCAAAAGAGAAGATAGGGAAGGCAGTGAGGGGCGGGTGGTGTGGCAGGGTAGCCTGGGGACTAAATGGGGTGAATAACACAATAAAACCAAATTAAGCTGTGCCAAAGATGCTGCCTGGTTTTGGCGGTACAGGAATTGGGAGTTTGGTCATGTGATGTTCACAAACTGAGGCGTGATTGGTCCTGACCTGAGTCCTGTGCAACTGTGCTTTTTTTTTGGGGTCATTTTCAGTGGACAGCAAGTGGCAAAAAAAAAAAAAAAAAGGTACATTTTCTGTCTGAACTCATATTCCAATATGAATCAGAATACCTTGCTTAAACTAGCAAGGTCGCAAAGAACATATCTTTAGAAAGAAAATGCGTTATATCTTGTTCAAGTCATTTCTTATGGAAAGATTTAACCTGATGCGCAAAAAAAAAAAAAATGTGCACAGTGTGGTAAAACGATCGCTGATGATTAATTTAGGTTGATAAAACTCAGAATATTGAACGTTAATTATCTAAAAAAAAAATGCTGATTTCATCATATTTGTTGATGAGATTTGTTCTGTCCTGCAAGAGCCAGCATCTGTGAACAGTCATGCAGGGGCCACTGTTCATGCAGAACCCCAATTGGGCAATTTACTGGACTCCAAATCACATTTGTACCTTTTCTAAGGCCCAAAACATTTTGAATTTTACACTGAAGACGGAGTTTTAGAACGTCTTGGAAAGCTTTCCCAAAAGCTCAGTTTTTAAGGACAAAAAAAAATAAATGATGTGAATGAAGTGATTGAAAGACAATAACATCACATTTTGGAAAGATCCCTCAATGTGAAGGCACTTCACTCCAGACAAAGTGCATAACTTTGGAAAACCCACTGCCATCTGTCCAGTGGGAGTATGAGTGACTAAAGGCCACTTAGGGACAAAATCCCAAGAGAGAGTGAGAGACCGAGAGAGCAACCAATAGAGAGAGAGAGAGAGAGAGAAAGAGAGAGAGGAGGGAGAGGGGTTATAGGGGTGTGTGTCTGGAAGGACAGAGTCTGATGGTCTGGCCTCTTTGGGAAGCCTCACCCAGATTAGTCACACAGAATTAATCGCTGCCGAGAACAATGGCCGCCGGGCTTTTGGAGACCTCAGCTGTCGCTCAGTGAAAGAAAAGCAAAAACAAGATTCAGGGCCGCCACAGAACAGGCTCACTCGCGCGTGGACCCTCCATCGAGCGTAGATGACCCAACTCAGACACGCGATCCCCATTTCTTACACCTTGACATTTTGCACTCACTTGCACTGTTCGATGCCATCTGGAGTGACCTCACACCTCCCCTGGTTCGAACATGACTCGGTGGGCATGGAGCATCGCAGGCCTGCCAAGGAAAAGTTTTCAGTCATAGCAATAATACACCTGCACTACTTTTGAAAGGACAATTTAAACACAGTGCGAAAAGTGTAGAAAAAAATCTTCATTCTTATGACATGACTACTTCAGAATCTAAAATAAAAAGGGAAATATATCTATTTTCAAAATGCTTTGCCAAAAAGGTATTAAAAACTGCGAACATATTTTTAATTAAAATAAGAAAAATATTGAACAAAATAATTTCAAATCGAGAACATAAATCATGCAGTTTTTAAAATTTTTTGATCTGGCAAAGATTTTAACTTTTTTAGACTTAATTCTCACAACGTTTTCATATTTTAAAAAAGACATTGTCTTTTTTAATATAAAAAGGTTTTAAAACCATAAAGAAAATCTGCCAAAATATATTTTAAAAATACATTTTAAAATCTACTTTTTTGATGAAGAGGGCCTTAAAGATTTTTACTTCAATCTTATTACATAACAACTGTTTAAAAAAAGACATTTGTTGCTGTATCACTTCTTGTTTTTTTCTTTGTTTTGTTTTTTTGACTTTGTTTTTTTCCCCTTAAAATAGGCAACAATTCAATTATGAGGTGGCTCCTAGTAAAAATGTCCAAAAGTTTACCCCACCTGTCCCTTCAGTCACAACTTGACGAATAAATTGTGCATATCAGTGTTTATAGTCACATCAGTAATTGGGTACAATGGAGAACTTAACAGCAGGTGCATAAAGATCCCCAAAAGGAAACGTACTGCATTATTTTTAGTGAGTTCATGTCCAGGGGAAGAAGCATACATATTTCTTCTCAGAATGAATTTGTAGCCTCGAGTTGAAAAAGTTTAGCCAACTCTGACTTGAGTCATGAAACCTACTGTTAAGTGTTCAAAAATACAGTGCAACAGGTTGTCCTCTGAAAAATAAGACATTAAAATAACCACACGCAGTAGTAGATAAATGATAACTTTTTGCTAAGTGCTAGCGTAACTCACCTCCGGTTAGTCCAATCAGGCACAACAATAAAGTTACTTTCGCCAAGAAAATAGGCATTCCTTCTGGTTCATAAAGTGCTTACACATAAAGTCCACATGGGTTGTTCATAGATCCGAATGTCGTCTTGTCTGCGACTGATGAGAAGGAAGGCAAAAAGTTGGAGTAGATCCACGGTGAAAGTTTAAACGCCGTTGTCAACGTACGATGTTGTCGCCACACTTTGTCGGCTGGAAATGACCCCGCCACGCCGCTTCACATCTGGGGAGGCGAGGCGAAGCGGAGGGCCCTTCGGTCGGCGCGGGCCCACGGTGCCCCCCC